GGAATAGTGACTAATAAGGCAAAACAAGGAAGTTGGACTTCTCAGCTTTTTCTGAGTTGGACATTCCCAGTGTACAACAGTTTGATATTGTTGATCACAAATATTAGTGTTTCACAATAAGTGCCCAAACCTTAAATCTAAACTAAAACATTACCTGATATTTGGACTAGCACCTTTTTCCCTTCCATTTTCATAAGTGAGTTCACTTAGCAAGCTCTATGCCCACATTCGGGATGCTCCCCTGACCCCATCCTCCATGCTGTCACTGGAGCCACTTTCTCACAGATGCCTCATTTCACAAACAAAGCTGAATATCTATCCCAAAAGTGACCCTTAATAGTTCCTTCGGAGCATACACCATTTGGTCTCAATAGAAAGCTCTCTCATACTGTTCCAAAGTGAATTTTCTTATGCTGGCAAGTCCTTCACAGGCATGCCGCGGATGGGATGGCAAGATGGTCACACGTGGGCAGGAGCTCTGTGCTCGTCCTCTATTTCACGGTGACAAACATGGAACGTCTCTTCTCCAACAACAAGCCTGGTTTTATGGGGGAGGCAGTTCTACTGCTCACTTGTCTCTCCCTCAGAGCAGCTGCAGGAAACTCGATGCCAGAGAACAGACAATCACGTTCTTCTCCCAAGAAGCTGCCAGCTGCCTTTACAGAGCAGGAAATGTGGCATTTGCATCAAAAATATACACAAACCTCTTCTTTCCAGGAGCATGTACTCTCCCTTCCCCACCTGCCAAGCATGTGCTGGGAAAGAGAAGTCCTGCCCCATCCCCCCTCCCACCCCTCCTCGGGAGGTTTCTCAGCGTCCCTTTAATATCAGTCCTTTTTTGCTGGAGTCAAAAACATGGTCCCTGGTGAAAACGCTAAGGAAACAGGGTGCCAAATCCAACAGCATCTATGAAAAGGGTGGTAAAGGATGCTCACACTCCGCAGGGCACAGGGAGGAGAAGGGAACTATTTTCCCTTTGGAAACAGAAATTCTATGGGGAAGTCATTCACAAAAACAGAACATTTTCTTTTTCTTTTTATAGAAAATTATTTCCTTCTAAGCTACAAATAGCTGTTTTCGGTAGGAAGGAGCACGAGAGATAAATCTTTCATTGGGTGAGTACAAAAGAAACACAAAATGAAACATGAGTCACAGGGTGGGCTGTGGGGAGAATACTTTCAGATTCAAGAACTTCATGGTTTCAGGTCCCATGTCTTCTTTAGACAATATTTGAAGAGCACATTCATCTTTGGAACAGTCCCCTCCTTTTCACCTTCTTAAAAAGAGGTTTGTCATTAGTCAAAACCAGTTCAGCAGATTAACTGGCCACCACCTCCACACACTGCTGTATTTCAGTGGATTCTGACCCCAAATATTCTGGACAGTTTTTTAGAACAGAAGCCAAATGACACATGAACCTCAACTTCCAGTACTAGAGTCCAGTTGTGCATCGGTCTCTCAAAAATAAAATTCCAGGCACCACCATCTGAGATACAGCGCAGTAAATGTAGCCCAGGCAAGCTTGGCAGGCAGATCAGGCCCTTGCATGATGCTACTCGGACCCAGAAGTGGTCCTGGGAGCTGAGCTCTGGTGCCTTTGCATGTTGACCAGCCCGTCTCAGACAAAAGACAGTCATCCTGGCCCTACAGCTCCCACCTCAGCCGGCCATGCCACCCACAAATACATGAAGACTCATTTTATAAAAGGTGATTATATATTCAGTCACCTTCTTGACCTTTTAAACAACCACGGCATCACAAGTTCCACACCTAAAGTGGACAGGAGTATCATCTCTAATGACATGGGTTCCAGAGAGACTGACACTTGATTTCTGTGTTTGTGAAGGTATTAAAAGTGCTTTTTCTACAAAGCATTTCAAATCAGAGTAGCCAACAATGAATAGGCGAAGTCTGCAGAGATAAATTAACTCTGAACGATCAGTGCAGGTATTTTCCTGTTTCTTTTTATATGTTTCCTCTCTACCTCCCAGGACTGGCTCTAACCCAAGGTCTGACCTACCATGGCCAGCTGTTGTCAAATCTTATGGACATGCCTTTCCGAGCTCCATGTGGTTTTAGAAAATTGGAGACTTTGCCAAGGTATCTGTTAGAGGAGAAGGGCAAGCAGAACAAGTACTGGCACGAATTCCACCCCAACCATCCTCAGCTCCCAGTGGCTACAACCAGAGAGAGGAGCTGGGGAACCAGAGAGCGGCGGCAGCTAAAGTGGCAATGCTTCGACTCCTCCGCTTTGTTACAAAGGGGCGACTGCGTGGAGTTCACCAGTGTAGCTGCAGCAACCAGGTTCTGCTTTATACACCCCCGAGGCGAGGAGTTTGGACGGAAGGGCAGGAGGGTCCTCCTCACCTAAGGAAAGAAAAGGGCAGAGACACAGGTTATTACACCTCACTGGGCTGGGCACTCAGACCAGAACATGGCAGGACCGGGGTTTGGACTATAGGCTTTGGGCCAGTGAGGCAGGCATGCCAACCAGCTCAAGCTGCTAAGAAGTCCCAGTTCCCTTGTTGAGAGTCAAGGGTTTGCATGCATGGCTCCAGCTAGTCACAGGCACAGTGAGGATGACAGGCATCCTGCAGGGGCTCCCTGGGGCAATGGGGCCTCCCACTGGGCTTTGCTTGCAGCCTGTGCTGAGCTGTGGGGCGAATACTGCACCCCTGAACCCAGGTTTAACAGATGCGGCTTCAAAGACATGGGGATAGTGAACAGCGCAAGTCCCCACGAAGATCCAGGCCCACGGACACTCCTCTAACACTGCTGGGGAACCACTGCATTGTGGGATTCAGATGTTTCTGGAGTTTAGGAAGGGGGCATAGTGCACATGCTGTCTATTACATGACATGGAGCTGGGCAGGTCATCGTAACTTAGCATCAGCTCCCACCTGTGAACATTACCTGGGATCAACTGAAACTATCAACGCAGTTGTGTTACCTCCCATCAGGTTTCACTGCCGAACAGGTCTGCACCCAAACTAGGAACACACTTTCACGGGTTTCGGAATTAGCAAACGCTGGGCCCGCACGGGATCAGACCCACTGGCACTTGGGGTCCCCGCCTTACCCAGGCCCGAGGAGGACGACACGCTCTCGGTCAGCGAGGACGTTTCCGTTTGGTCCGCCGAGAGCCCTTCCATGAGGGGCAGAGACAGCTCGGAGGAGGGTACGGAGGAGTCGTAGATGCCCGAGTCCCGCGGCATGCCCGAGGCGCCCACGTCCTTCCCGGCGCGCAGCAGGGGCTGCAGGACCGGGGCGCCCACGGCCTCCCCAGCCTCGTCGGGGCCCAGCTGCTGCCCCTCTGGTGACCCGGGGGCCGGTACCTCAGCCTTGAGGTCACTTTCGGGCCCCAGTTTGCACATGACGTCATTCAGCACCAGGCCCGAGTCGAACTTCTCCAGGACCGGCTCCTGACAGCGGAGCGGGGGAGGCTGCGAGGGCACCAACTGCTTCTCAAACCAGTCGGGCTCCTCGTCGATGAACTGGTGCATGTTGCAGATGGCCACGTACAGGGACCGGCCCGCCTTGCTCCGGAAGTAGTTCCTCCTGCTGACGTGTCCGAGCTCCGGGAGGCCATGGTCTCGCGGGAATCCGTGGTCTCGCGGGAGGCCGTGGTCTCGCGGGAGTCCGTGGTCTCGCGGGAGGTTATGAGCTCGTGGGAGGCCGTGGTCTCGCGAGTGCAGGTGGGAGCAGAGCTGGGGCAGGTGGTCCATGAGCTTGTACTTGGTGCTCAGGTCCAGGACGCCAGGAACGTCTCCCTCGCAGGAATAGTCGAAGTAGACGGCGATGAACTTGCTGAGCGCCGCCGAAGAGCTCTGCTTGGCCTGGCGGAGCTTTTCGGCGATGGCGGCCACGGCCACCAGGAAAAGCTCCCCTTTCCCCGAGCCACGGCCGCCGCCTCTGTGCTTGTAGTTCTTGTCCACGAAGTACTTCATGCCTTTGGAACAGACCACGATGATGAACTGGGACTCGTGGATCTTCTGGATGACCCATTCTCTCTGCCCTTCTCGGCAAAGGGTGAAGTCTTCCCACAGGTCCAGAGCCACCTGGAAAAACAGGACCCGCTCTCACTCCCACAGCCTGGAGTGTGGCGCAAGGATTGTTACAAAAGGGCACCTCGCCCGAGCTGGTTTAGCTCAGTGGATAGAGCGCCGGCCTGCGAAATGAAGGGTCCCAGGTTTGATTCCAATCAAGGGCACATGCCGGAGTTGCGGACTTGATCCCCAGTGGAGGGTGTGCAGGAGGCAATCAATAATTCTCTCTCATCATTGATGTTTCTATATCTCCCTCTCCCTTTCTCTCTGAAATCAGTAAAAATATATCTAAAAAAGGAAAAAAAAGGGCACATCATCTCTCCCTTAATCATTATTAGCAGCTCTAATAATGATTACCGGGCCCTGAGGAACAGCTAACAGTCCGTGGGGGACGGTCACACAGCAGACCGTCTGCATCATGCCCTCGGTTTAGCATAATGTGGGGTCATTACCACTCCTGTCCTACACGTGAAAAGAGAAGCACAGAGCTTCTAGCAACCTGCCTAAGTCACACATCACCTGTGAGGCCCTCAAGGGGCTGATCAAGTGTGGTGCAGAGCATTGAAAACGTAGGCCCTGGGGTTGGTCTACGTGATGAGTGAGGCTGCCTACATGGGGGCAGGTCCCAGAAAGAAAGCTGGAAGGTGATGGAGGGACGTGGGTGAGGGACCCCCAAAGGGAGTTGAGAAACGGGGCTCAGGTCTGGATGCCATAGTCACCCACAACATTGGATGACTCATGTCCACAGAGTATGACTGACAAAGAGGACCTCCCCAGCCATCTCAAAGCTATTTACCAGTTGTCCAGTGGCTGGAGAGGAGGGTGAACTGCAGTAACATGGCCATTCTGGCTAACTCATGAGTGACCGGCACTTCCCACCATGGCTGCACAGTGGTCTACATGGTCACATCCATACAAGGCCTTTAATCCCAAAGGGGGTCTGGTAGGGAGATTGAGATGGGAGAAGAAAAACAGGCCCCCTCAGAGGTCTTCACCTTCTCAGACCATTTTCATCTGATTCTACTGAAATCATCTCTTGGCAAGTGTAGCTTTCTCTTCCTTTTTTTTTTTTTTTAATTTCTCACCCAAGGATATTTTTCCACTGATTTTTTAGAGGATGAAAGGAACAGGGAGAGACAGAGAAAAACATCAATGTAAGAGAGAAACATCGATTGGCTGCCTCCCCCACATGCCCCAACCAGGGCCAGCGATTGAGCCTACAACCGAGGTACATGCCCTTGATTGGAACTGAACCCAGGACCGTTCAGTCCGCAGGTCAATGCTCGATCCACTGAGCCAAACTAGCTAGGGCTCTCTTCCTTTCTATAGCTCAGAAACTAATTCCCAGTGTTATGCCCAAACACAAAGCCACAGTCTGTTGAGGGGGAAGGGGATCTGAAATGACTTTGCCTTCTGCTTTACGGTGTTACCAAAGGGAAGAAACCCTCAACATCTACCTATCCACTTGCTGAAAATAATCCTGAATTGTCTTACACATGCCCCAATTCTTCCAACGTTATAAATTCTAAAGTCTAAGGGATTATATACCAAGCATTTTTAAAAATGTTCCTATGTTGGATCCAGCAATTCCATTTCCAGGCATCTGTCTTTGAAAAATCATTAGAAATGAGGCAATATTAAAGTACTGAGATGTTTAACAATTTGAAATAATATGGACCACGTGGCTCTTTAAAATTGCAGTTTACATAAACCTGCTAATTGTGTAAAAATTATTTAAATGAGACAAAATAATTGCGCCCTATTCAAAATACAAAACTGTGTATATGACTTCATCTATGCAGAAAAAGACTGAGAAAATACACCAAATATTAATCATCACTCCTCATTTCTCCAAGTTGAGATTACAGGCCATTTTTTGTCATATTTTTCTAGTTTCCAAATATTCTACAGTATTACACAAAATTGGGGTTTGTCTGTATCTGAAGACTGTGTGGCACCAGCTAGTTTGCTGTTGCTTTTCAGCACATGAGCTAATCTGCCAACCTCCACTTGCCTGCCTTGGGAAACCAGGCCAGCCTTGTAAATACGTTTTTTGACACTAGGAGGCAGCCTCACCACATGGAGAGATTCTGAGAAACCCGCCAGCAGGCACAAATAACCCAACTACACAATTACTGTACAATTCTTGCATTGGCAAGAAATATGTCCATGAGAGCTTCAAACTTCGCTCTAAGATTAACACTATATCATTATAGAATAGCTAAATATGAATAGCTTAACTCAGAAGAACAGGTATCAAACCAGAGCAGACCATTTGAGCCCTTAATGCATTATTATTTTTCCTTTTTAGCAAAGCTCCCCCACAAACTGTCAAACCTGCTACTTTTCTTGCCCTGATCTCTTTGACCTTCCACTGCTCTGTCAAGTGACCACCTCTCCGCACCCCGACCACATGCTCCCAGGGCAGCCATTTGTCCCCATACGACTTCCTGCCAGGTGGGTGCCACTCAGCTTCTGAGCAGGAGTGTGTCGGGGACAGAACTGAGCATTAGAAAACTTTTAGTGCTGGTGATGAATAGAAGACACGAAGAGTGGGAGGCTGACCCCAATTTGGAAGCCAGGCACTGCTGGAGGGCAGCTACCCCCTAAGGAGGCCGGGAGGCAGGGACAAGGTGGCCAGGAGAGGGTGCAGAGCATGTGCCCCCCCGCAAAGGTAAGAGACTCGAGATTCCTTACCTCGCAGCCACAGAAGTCCTGGAGGAAGTAGGCGAAACACTGGACAACGTTCATGTGATTCTGGCCATCTTTACTAGAATAGCAGAGGAAGACCTTCGGCCGAGGCCGCAGCCTCTCTCTTGGGAGTGCCGTGGTGTAGGTGGAGGACTCAGAACTCTCTTCATCTAAATGTGAATATATATTTTCTAAATTGGAAAAGAAGATAAGATTGATAGCCATGAGCAACGCTTTGTCCTGTTCCCTAAGACTGGGGGCCTAACGTTATCTTCAAGAAACAAGAGGCAACACTTCCACACAGAGTACAAGGAGCTATATGGCCTCCCAGATGCCCACCTGGAGGGACCAAGCACTCAGGCCCGGCCCCCGGGTGGGGACCACCACCCACGTACCTTGTTGCTTCTTGCGGCACATCACAGTGAAGAGCGTTGCGAATGCCGATATGACGACCAGCGGCACAGTAATGGCAACAGCCCTGATGGGCCCAGCCCACGGGGAATGCACTGGGGAATTCCAAAGGGAAGGCTTTTAAACTCAAACAGCATAACAGCTTCAAAGAGAAATTGTGTTTTCTTTTGCAGTATAAGCCACATAACAGGTTCCAGGATCCCTTGACCACCTTCCCTAGTATTGGTTTGGTAATTTTAAAAAGGATTCATTTTGAAGAAACAATTAAACAGTTAGTCTGCTAACTATAAATACCTTTGAGTGAGAATTTTGCCTAAGGAAACCTCCCACCACCGCTTTTCTTAGGAGGACAATTGACTATTTATTTAGTTCCAGAAGACACACACCGCACTGCCTTTGATCTCCCAGGCATCCACATTAGAGTGGAGGGAAGTCAGATGAGATGGAACAGCCCTTAAGAGAGAGGTGCTCAAGTTTTTGTTGTTTTGTTTTTGTAAACCATTAGGTTCAGATACCTTGGTGTACTATAGTCCAGAGCCAACGTTTCCAACAAAACAGCCTTACCTGGCTTTAAAGCATAATGCACCACTTTCCTTGTTGTATTAGTGTCATCCACCAGCTGCAAAACAGAGGATGCTATATTATTATTTTAAGTGATAGCATCTCAACAGATTTCATGCTTTTGTCATCTGTGGGCAGTGCGGGGCGAGAGGAAGGAGAACGGGGTGAGGGAAGGGCTGCCGCCTATGATCCTTCACCAGCCGAGGTAGACACTAATGGTCAGACACATCTCTGCTCTACCAAGTCAAGAGTCATGACTCCCTCATGAATCAAAAGGTTGTTTGTTCATTGATGAAACCAGCTAGTGATTCCACGTTCTAACAGTTTTCAACTGAAATGGCATCTAACCACTGATCTTACTGAATGCTTTAAGAGGGTGTGTCTGCTCAAAACCACATATTGCTACGGAGTAATGCAGAACTAAGTGTTTCTAACAAAATGTTAAGACATGTTGGTTGTCTCTGAATAGAAAGGCTATGGACAATTTTTAATTTCTCTCTATTTTTCTTTTCTCCTGTTTTTGTAGTATGTCTGATACTGGAAAAGAAATTACAAAAAGAAAAGAAAAAAATTCTATCATTTACATGCTCTTTTAAGCGGAACTTAGAACTCATGTAAATTTATACAGAACATCAGCAGAAACCTAGAAAAGTATAGGCAGATGTAACAGGCTTAGCTTTTGCTTTGCTGTTTTATTACTAAAACAAGACACTTTAAAAGCTAAAGTTTTAAAAATATACTTTTGTAAGGAAGAAGGAATATAGAAGTTTTAAATCATGGTTATGTGGACTATATGGTCACATAAAAATATTTATTTTGAAATATTTAATGAAAAAAATCAAAGATCAATTTCATGTAAACTTTTTAAAAAGCATGTTAAGGACCATGTAAAAATCTAACCGCACACCTTCAATGGCTTGAAATTTAGTGTTGTAAGCAGTTGGGGTTTAAATGAACTGGACTCATTCTGTAGAATTAATAGGGCTTTCCTGAGTTATACGTACCTCAATTATATAATCACCCGGAGATACATTTTGAAGGAGGCAGCTGGTTGTCTCTGTGTTTTGCTCCTGTAAAGAAACAATACTTTTAAAAGTTGCTTCTTAGATGAAGGTCATCAGGACCTCTCTCTTCCCCAAGAACTGAAGATCTCATATAAACTGTTTATTTTTTTCAGGAGCCATCAATCAGATCAGAAAGCAACTGTGTTATCTGCCACATTATCTGAACTTCACTTTGATAAAAGGCCTAGGAGAGCCTGGGACCCCTGTCATATTGTACACTTAGCTGGTGGTGCCCTGAGCAGGAATATTTTATTTGAAAACAAAGAAACTATACAATTAGAATTTTACTTAATAAAATGGTGGGAAGAGAAATTACCTGCCCGTGTTTGTGTTTATTTTATTTGCCATAATCTTAACTTGAGCAGAAGGTCAAAGGAGGTGATAGTCACAGGAAGACGTGGGGTCTTCCACTGCCACTAACGACCTCTCGGGGCTCTCAGGGGCGACCCTGCAGTCCTGTGAACTTCCATGACACGTTTCCCACTCCCTCTGACCGCCTCCAGTGTAAGAACTTGGTTCCTGAGTTTCTACTTAACCTTGGCCTATGTGTAAAAAATCAGTAGCCACTGAAATGCTAGTGACATGGCTCCTACATGTCCTTTTTCCACTTAGAGCTGTGTGGCCTCAGGTTCCCCATCTGTACGGTGGGGATGACAGCAGCCTCTTTCAGAGGGTGGTAAGGTTTCCATGAGCATAAAGCTTGGTGATTGCCACACAGTGAGCACCTGATTAATATTTTAAATACAGAACAAACTAGAAATGCTTCATTACTTTGGTTCCTTGGTAAAATCCTTACCAGGCTCCATCACCACCGGGATAGCTGGGGTGCAGGTAATTGGGGAGTGAGAGATGACGGCAAAATGGTCTGCGACATACCCAGTGATAATATCCTGGAATATCTATCTACCAACTGCTGAGAGTCAGCAACATCCAGTGCTCATGCTGAACCATCCAAATTCCAGGGGCTCGGGGGTCACCTTTAAAACACGGAGTGTTCCTTTATGTACAACTAGCGGCCCACCTGTTTACAGGTCTTTCGCTTGAAGGGTCCCTCGTGCTTGAGTTTGTAATGAAGAGAGAAGAAACGGAAGCCAAAGGTGTGTGGCGCGTGGTTGAAGGTCACCTGCATATCCGAACCGTGCTGGGTGATATTCAGGGTCCGAGGCTTCCAGACTGGGAGGAGAAAGGACCCAAGTGAGCACCCCAAGGCCACCCGACACCACCGGGGTGGCAACACGTTGACAAGAACAGCTATACTTACAGGGTTTGCAGGCCAGGTTGTCCGGCTGTAACAACAGGTCACAGGCTGTTAACAGAGATAATATTTTTGGTTATAGGACAGTTTGACATTTTTCTTGCCCAACAATTCGATAAATATAAATAGGTGGCACTGGGTGCTGCTGGGAAGAGTCTTAAATACATCGATTCAACACTGATTTTCAGTGCAGTTCAGCTGTATTTTACAAAAACTTAAAGTGTACAACATAAAAATATTAATGCAGTTCACTTTATGCCAAACAAATGAAAACAGTACAAAGTCACCCCGATTTTAAAAGCTTGCCAAGCGTTACGTAGTTTCAAGGCCAGCAGCCAAGGGCAGCAGGAGTGTTCATGCTACTGCCACACGGAGCCTGCTTTCGCTGTAAACAGAAATGATGCTGGCCCTGGCCCTCTGTGGAGGTGTTTGGGCACAGGAGATCGAAGTGAGCCTGTTCACTGTCTCAGGCTATCTTAACCTTCACTAGCATTCTAATTTAAAATCCTTTTGACTGAGTCTAAAAGTGGCATCAGGCATTTACTAAGGACTAGTAGCATCCATGCTGAAAACCAGGCATCAAAGCCAATACTTTGAAACGATTTCAATGCAATAAAAACACAGTGAGAGAGGCCAAATAGCTAGTTCAATATGCCATGCTGCTAACCCAGGGAGAACCCTCTGGAAAAGGGCGATACAATTCCAAGAAAACCAAAGGCAGTCTCAAGGTCACTGTACTGAAATAGAGAGAGACACATCTCCTGCCTCCACCTCAGATCCAAATAGACACACTGATTCCAATGGGAACAATTAATCTTAAATTATGCCAAGTTTGCCCAGCTGGTGTGGCTCAGTGGTTGACTGAGCCATGCACCAGGTCACCGGTTCGATTCCTGATTAGGGCACATGCCCAGGTTGTGGGCTCGATTCCCAGTGGGGGGATTAGGGAGGAGGAGTGAGAAGGCAGCTAGTCAGTGTTTCTCTCTCATCAATGTTTCTATCTCTCTATCCCTCTCCCTTCCTCTCTGAAATCAATAAAAATTTTACTTGCCTGGACAGCGTGGCTCAGTGGTTGAGTGTCAACCTATAAACCAGGAGGTCATGGTTCGATTCCCGGTCAGGGCACATGCCCGGGTGTGAGCTCGATCCCCAGTGTGGGGCATACAGGAGGCAGCCAATCAATGATTCTCTCATCATTAATGTTTCAATCTCTTTCTCCCTCTCTCTTCCTCTCTCTGAAATCAATAAAAATATATTTTGAAAAGTTATGCTAGGTTTGATTTAGGCAAGTTTTCATGAACACATGCTTTGGATCCTCCCTCTGGTTGTTATGCATGAGATATCAAGAGATATTGTTAGATGCTAATGGTCTTTTCCCAATGGAATCTTATTTAATTAAGAAAATGAGCCTGGCGGGAGTGGCTCAGTGGTTGAGTATTGACCTATGAATCGGTTGTGGTTTGATTCCCAGTCAGGGCACATGCCTGGGTTATGGCTTGATCCCCATCAATGATTCTCTCTCATCTTTGATGTTTCTCTCTCTCTCTCTCACTCTCCCTTCCTCTGTGAAATCAATAAAAAAAAGTTTTTAAAAAAGAAAATGAGGCCAATTATTATAAAATAGAAGCCCAGTGCACAAATTCGTGCACGGGTGGGGTCCCTTGGCCTGGCTGGCATTCAAGGCCTATTGGGGGCTGGCTGGCAGAGGTAGGTCCCCAGGAGGTTGGCTGGCCGGCCCCCCAATTGGGGCCTATTGGGGGGATCAGCCGGCAGAGGTAGGCACCGTGGGAGGTTGGCTGGTGGGGGGGAGGGGCCGCAGGCTGGAGGTTGGCTGACTGGCCTACTGAGGGAGTGGGGGCGGCCAGCATGGGGAAGGGACCGTGAGAAGCTGGCCAGCCGTGGTGAGAAGCCAAGGGAGGTTGGCTGTAGGAGCTAACTGACCACCAGAAGGCAGCTCCTGTGTTGAGCTGGAGGTCAGTGCGCATCATAGCAACTGGTCGACTGGTGGTTCGGTAGTTCTGGTAGTTCAGTGGTAACAGTCGCTTAGGCAGAGAGAGAGGGGGGGGGAATATAGATATAGATATAGATATAGATATAGATACAGATACAGATATAGATAACTTTGCTGCATAGACTAGAAGAAAATGAAAGACTAGAAGAAAACAGCCAGAGTAAGAGTTCTGCAAAGGGAACACTGACGAAGACTGGAGTTGAGAGTAAAAGCACCACGGAGGAGGAAGACGGCAACCAGGTCACACAGGAGGGCATGTCGGATCATCTGACCCTGGAATGCCAGACAGAACAGCTGACAGGAAGGCAAGAGAGAATTGCTGCAACCCTCAGGGGGCCTGTCACCAAAGCAGTGGTTCAGGGAGATAAAGAGACACCGTGTGCAGAGCAGATGGAAGAGGAGGCCAGGAAGCAAAGAGAACCAGCATGGTTAGGGCTGGAGAGCGTGGGTCTGAAAGTCAGACTTCTGGGGTTCCAGCTCCAGAAAGCCCTTTGACCTCTCTGTGAGTGAGCCACATCTCATTACTGAGATGGTGAGATTAAATTCTTTGCAAGGTCATCACAGGGTAAGCTGGGCTAATATTTGGAAAGCATTTAGAACAGGGCCTAGCACACAGATGCTAAATAAATAAGTAGAAAGAATAAATAAGCCCTAACCGGTTTGGCTCAGTTGATAGAGCGTTGGCCTGCGGGCTCAAGGGTCCCAGGTTCGATTCCGGTCAAGAGCATGTACCTTGGTTGCGGGCACATCCCCAGGAGGAGATGTGCAGGAGGCAGCTGATCGATGTTTCTAACTCTCTATACCTCTCCCTTCCTCCCTGTAAAAAATCAATAAAATATATTTTTTAAAAAAAAGAATAAATAAATTTCCAGGAAGAGGTGATCTCAGGAACATTGCTTAATTTTCTTAATCTAACCCTGAAAATGACAGGCAATCACTCACCGAGGCCACCCTCCTGATAACAAAAGATGAAATCATTTCATCCTTTACCCCAAAACCAACTTATACTTCTTATTCCTGTTTTTTTTATTGATTTCAGAGAGTAAGGGAAAGGGAAAAAGAGATAGAAATAGAAACATCAATGATGGAGAGAATCATTGATCAGCTGCCTCCTGCAGCCCCGCACTGAGGATGGAGCCCACAACCCGGGCATGTTCCCTGACCAGGAATTGAACCCTGACCTCCTGGTTCATAGGTCAAGGCTCAACCACTGAGCCACACCAGTTGGGCTTATTCCTAATTTTTTAATCAAATGGTTTTAATACCAGCAGCATCCTGGGCCAAACTTTAATTCTAAAAGTTGCTTTTCTGGATGCGTTTCTCTGCACCATGCTGGTTTTAGACCAGTATTTGCTGGGTTCTTAAACACGTATCTGTTGAAAATTAAAAGCTAAAGTGTCACCATGGGAACCAAGCAGGAAGACCAAACTCACCTCGGGTTCTGAAAAAGAAAGGGTGATAATTGCTTTCATTTTTTATGGAAGGAAAAGGGACAATCTTTACAAAGTAATCCGTCTCAAACTTCATATTCAGGAAAGGTTGAGATTCCATTCCCTGAAAGGGAACAAAAACACACGTGACGTCATGGAGAGATGACCCACCCTCCACCTGCCCGCGAGAGCTCGGTCCTCCCATTCAGTCACCGGACACACCAAAGCTGGGGACGGGTCCCAGGGAAGGAGGAAGTCAGGGCTGTATTTTCTGGATCCAGTTTAGGTTTGGATCCCTCACCAAAAATGAGGATCAACAATGCCATCTGTTGTTTGGCAAGGAAGCCAGAGCTTTTAACTCTGAACTTCGAAGACGGTGGGGAGCACAAAGCCACCTCTGGGACAGCTGTCCAGCGCGTAACCTGAGAGACGTGTTTACCAGCAGAGGTGCTGGAGGCTGCTCGGGGAGTGTGCAGCGGCTGGCAGTGTGGCCCGCCACTGTCGCCCACCTGGGCAGGTGGGGTGGCCCCCACAGCCCCTCCTTCTCCGGTCTCACAGACTCTGAATAGCCCATTCAGACCCCCGGAACAATGGTCTTCAGGAGCACATTCCCGCGTGCGACTCACAGTTCTTTTGAAGCTACTGTTGAGCTGCTTCGGGTCCTTGAGAATCAGTTGCTGGCACTGCCTGCCCTCCGACTTCAGCTCCTCCAGGATTACCCGAAATCCTTTCAGGAATTCGATGCCTAAGCAAAGCAGAATGTTTCTATTAAAGGTGGACCTACTTGCTTTTGAACACACTTTCCTTCCTCCAAGATTACTGTCCTGTCCGCCTACACAGCAGTGAAAGGAACTCTTACTCTGGCCGGCACATCTGAGTTCACAGAAAGGAAAAACACAGTCTGCATCCGTCCGGCACAGACCGGGTGATTTCCCCTGCCACGCCGTACTATTCACTAACCTCCAATCCAGCCAGCCAGGTCACAGCTGCCCACTGCCTCTGTGACCATAGGGTTCAAATACTTAGACTCAAGTCACAATTGGTCATAAAACGTCTGCAGTGAAATACATAATTCCTAGGTCATTAGCCAGGGTGGATTCAACTGATAAATCACCAGGCTGACTAGGGACTCTCCCCAAACTATGTTTCCACTTTAAACTGTAGTCCTGTATTTGCTGGCCTGTTTCAATGAGCAACATACAAAATTCCCAACAAAAGTGTGTGTCTGCACCCAAGGGGTTCCTAGGCTTGAGATTAAATAAAGGGCGAGAATGCCAGGGGGATTTACAAAGCGCTTCTTGCTCTAATCTTGCCTGAAAGGCAGACACCCAAGAGCTGCCCAGTGTGTGCAGCACAGAGGCCCCAGACGCCCACAGCGCCGCTGAAAGGCGCCGGCCCAGCCTCCCGCCACCTGAGCTTCCCCCGCTACACGTCGGACTAGATGCTTTCAAAAGGATTAAGCTCTGATGTCCACAAGAGCCAGCACCGGGCTCTGTATCCCATGGAGACTGGAGGAGTCCGACTGCAGCTGGAGGTCCCCCCAGCCGGCCTCAATTGGCACGATATCGATTTCGCATTCCTTCTGCACACTAGACAAGGAGACGTTTCCAACCCTTCCCCACCCAAGGCCAAAGTAATTACACAGGATGCAATTAACCAGGTGGGAAAATGATGGATGGCAAAGGCCAGGGAAATCTTTTTCTCTTTCAAATAGGTTCTCCAATCCTGTAACCTTTTGATTAAAAGCACATATTTTATGGTGGGCCAGGCAAAGGAGCGACAGGTAGAGCTTCCTGTTTTAGGGAGTCTGAAAATAGTGTGTGCAGGTAGAAACTGTTGTATTTCAAGTACAAAGCTTCCTGCGGGCGTGACACCCAGCTGACAGACAGCCCAAGGTTCAAATGTACTGACAAGATCCGGCAACTATTCAGTAGATCTCACGGAACTCGACTTTTGCGATTCCTCCTCCCCAGAATTTTTTAAAAATTTTTAGTGATTTCAAAGAGGAAGGAGGAAAAGAGATAGAAACATCAATGATGAGAGAGAATCACTGATTGGCTGCCTCCTTGCTCATCCCACCCCCAACTGGGGATCGAGCCTGCAAGCCAGGCATATGCCCTAACCAGGAACCAAACCTTGACCTCCAGGTCCATGACAGCCATGCCTCCCCAAAATTGTTTTTAACGAATTCTTATAATTTATATTAAGATTTAATTCATGTAATGCCCCCTAGAACTACTACTTTAACAAAACCCAGGTAATGAATATGATTAAAGAGCATACATGTCACAATTATATAAAAATTAATGTAACTAATTACATAAGTGTACAGGGTGGGAGTGGGTGGTTCTAGTCCTTATTATTATTATTTAATTGATTTTAGAGAGAGGGGAAGAGGTAGAGAGAGAAAGAGCAAGAAACATCAATGTGAGAAAGAAACATCAATTGGCTGCCAGCCAGGGATCGAACCTGCAACCTAGGTATGTGCCTCGACTGGGAATTGAACCCACAACCCTTTGGTGCACAGGTTGATGCCCTAACCAACTAGGCCACACTGGTCAGGGCTCTAGTCCTTATTTTTAAAAGACCTGCCAAGTCTGAGAGGAGACAGCAAATGTAAATCTTAAATCACAGTAACACCTTTATCACAATTCTATTAGCATTTATATTATACTAGAGGTCTAGTACACGTGAGATTCATGCACGGGGGGAAAGCGGGGGTTCCCCTCAGCCCGGCCTGCGCTCTCTCACAGTCTGGGACCCCTTGGGGGATGTCCAACTGATGGCTTAGGCTGCTCCCCACAGTCAGAAATCCTTAGCACTGCCGTGGGTGCAGGCAGCCATGGGCCTGGCTCAGGGCTTCTGGCTGAGCGGCACTCCCCCTGTAGGAGCACAGTGACCACCAGGGGGCAGCTCCTGCGTTGAGCATCTGCCCCCTGGTGGTCAATGCGCATCATGGCAACTGGTTGTTCTGCCATTTGGTCAATTTGCATGTTACCCTTTTATTATATAGAATTGTAGTTATATAATGTTTGGCAATTTTATAGGACAGCTTCCCTTACAGCAGTGGTTCTCAACCTTCTGGCCCTTTAAATACAGTTCCTCATGTTGTGACCCAACCATAAAATTATTGCCATTGCTACTTCATCACTGTAATGTTGCTACTGTTATGAATCGTAATGTAAATATCTGATATGCAGGATGGTCTTAGGCGACCCCTGTGAAAGGGTCGTTCGACTGCCAAGGGGGTCGCAACCCACAGGTTGAGAACCGCTGCCTTACAGGAACTTATTTACCCCTTCCCATTACTTAAGTCATTAAATCCTCCTAACAACCATAGATAAAAGGTATTATTCCCATTTTATTGATGAAGAAAACTGAGGTGTAGAGACACTAAATGACTCGCCCAGGGTCACACAGGAAATTAAATGGCAGAGATAGGACTCAAACCCAGAATACTCTTAACCCATATGTTTTTCTGGCTCCCAGAGAGCTTCCTTGACAAAACCTCACAGAAAGAGATAGGACTTGTCCAGGCCCCGCACCCCTGCCCCCCAGCCAAATCATCATGCAGGTCAACTACAACCTTCTGCCACACTGTGCCACATTCTGGTTTCCTACCACCAACTCGCATCTCTTCCTTTCATCCTAAAGAGGGAGCCTGCAACTCATCAGGCCAACCCCTTAGCCATTTAGCCTTACACGGAGCGACCACTTCCCTTTAATCCACAGAGAATGTTTGTATCTTTAAATGTTAAGATAATGTTATTTTTGGAAACCCAGTGGGTTCAGACCCAGCAGTACTGACATGGATAAGTGAGTCAGGCCCACCAGTCTGAGTCATCCTCCCTCTCCCTGCACTCACCTCTTCTGCAATCTGGTTCTTCCGAGATTTATCCCATTCAGATTTTAAAATTCAGACTTTATTTTACTTTTCCCTTGGCCAGATTTTTTTTTTTTAATACTAAGATTGGGTAGCAATGCCAAAGGACCAGGTTCTGATGATGATAACAACAGCCACAATTTTTTAAGAACTCTCTCTAAAAAATGGACTGTATGTGTGTCTCAAATTCTTACAACAAACCAAGGGGCAGTCATCTGCCCTTCACAGATGGGGACGCCGGGGCTCAGTGAGGGCTGAAGGCTTCTTGTGATTCTGGGTTCGGACCCAGGCCAACTTCAAGAAATGGACCCTTCCAAGCCCCACATTCAACTACGCCGTCCTCTCCTGTGTACCATCAATTCATGACCGAGGACAAGCAGCGTGGGCCCAACCTGAGTCTGGTCAGATAATGTGGGTTTGCTTTTCCTCTTCCTTTCCTTCAGTTTGGTTTCTCTGGCCCACACGGTTTAAATAAAAATTCAATTCATTGCCAACATTTAAAAATTGTTGGTTTCATGGTTTCTCATGAAAACTGGGATTTTCCTGAAAACTCACAAAATGTGCCAAAGCTGGGCCTGCACACATCTGCGAGGCTAGAGACCATTAACGCCGGATGCCAAAGCCTTCACGTCCTTGGATGAGCCACCCATCCTCCCACTGCGGCTGAGACACAGAGGCCAAGCAAGGCCTGTGCCATTTACCACTCACACACTAGCACGTTTCAAACCCACATCTCTCTCATTCACAGCCAAGGGAACAAAAGAGGAGCCACAGGGCACAGCATCGAGCCGTGAACATGCCCAGCATAAAAGTAGGAGGTGTGTCCGTGCCCAAGACAACCAGAGCTACTCTCATGTCAAGACCTGCCTGGCCCCCGGAGGCCATGAGGTCTGGGCCCCTTGCACTGGGCACTACCCACCCAGGCCACCTCGGTGGACTCCATTCTGACCACTTACCAAGGGCCCCTGGGGACCAAAGAATGGTGACGGCCACCTGGTCGTGGCAGGCGTACTGGCTGATGGTGATGTTCTGGGCATCGGCAATCACGTGCTTCCCCACTGGGCTCAAGTACGTGGTACAGTCTAGAGAGAGTTGGGAGAATAAGAACAGTCACGTTTAAAAGTTTTTATTTCCAAGTTCATCTTCTCAAATTACACAAAGCATGTCTGCAGGTGGCCAAATCCATTCTGTGTGCCTCAGAAGCCCAAATGAAAGATCAAAGGTTGACTGGAAAAGTATAAGGTGCTGCAGTGAGATTTATTTATAGCACCATCCCCACACCCACCCCACCCCTTGAATTAAATCCCAGGACAATGGTTAGAAGTATCCTTTGTGGGCTAGCGTGTGTGTGTGTGTGTGTGTGTGTGTGTGTGTGTGTGTGCATGTCATCAATTTTTTTACTATTTTGAAATTTTACCCAAATCAATAATTATTTACATTCATTCAATCAGGTTTCAGCATTAAAGAGTTATTTGAAACAAAACAGTGACTGAATAATTGGGTTTGCTTGTTTTCAGAAGAAACCTCGAGGACAAGGTATCTGAGGGAAAAGGAAATAAAATGAGGATGTGAATCCATGGGAGAGTGAAGACTTAACCAATCAGAAGCTGCAAAAGATACTGACTGACTTAGTGATAGGCAAAGCACCTCCCCATGTTCACTAGCATCGGCAAAGGTGAAACTTGTGTTCCCACACACCAGGTGTCATCAAAGGCACCACAGCACCCACCAGACCCAGAGTCCATGCTGCTGAAAAACAAAAATCCCGACCCTTGGATTTTGTCTGAGGCCCTTGTTCATGCCACCTGTGAATGCAGCCATGACCGCGGGAGCAGCTGTGCCACCTGGTTTTGCTAAATACACCTTCAGAGTCTGCAAGATCCTGAAAGCTGCCAGCAGCTTCCAGCTAGACGGCGGGCTGGGACTTCTGAGAACGGCCGCAGGCCCTTCTGGCCACTCATTCGGGGAGAGCCACCAGCCATCCCTGGCGTCACCAAGTCATATTCTTATGCTGCTTTGTTTCCGTTCCCTTCTCGATGGTTAAGCTTGAAAACCATCTTTGGGATCTGCTGCAGCAGGTCAATCCCATCAACGCCACCCCTCTGAGGTCAGACTGTTTTCCTTTGCCGCGAAGCTTCTAAGAAGCTCACAGAGTCTGCTGTACTCACCGTCTCGCCACCCCCCAAAACCAGACCGCACAATTGCCATATTCGGGACTAAAAATGTTCACTGGATATTTAAAGATTAAGAGACAATATCAGAAAGACATGAACATCACCCAGAACCTCCCACCACACAGAAGTAACTGCCAACCTCTAATGGGCAACCTCCTAAGCTCTGAACCGGCATGTGGTCTTCCTCCTTTTAAATTTTTCTTATTAAAGTACAACACGCTCACCAAAACACAGAGCTCCGTGTTACAGCTCCACTCTCCACACTGCTTTGTGTCTTGCTTTCTTGCCTGACCACATCAAGTGTTCTCCCATCTGCTTCAAAAACAGCCCTCCCACATTTCAATATTACTTCTTCTGAGAAGATGCTAATCATCGATAAAACTGAATTCAACTTCTGATGAACATTCACTCTCAAAGCATTCAACATGTGTTCTCTGGGTGCGGGAGAGAATTTTACAATAGGGAAAAAAGTTAAACATCTGGTGCAATATCCTCATCACACAAATGAGGAAACTGCATCTAGAGAGGTCCGCTGGGTGGCACAGGATTCACTGCTGCCCAGCCCAGGGCCAGGGCAGAAAGCAGCCTTGGATGCTCATGCAGGACTCCTGCCATTCCATCCTCAACACAGAGCTTATTACTCGAATGAGTTCTAAATCAGAAGTATTCAGCCTGCAAAGATCCTGGCTATGCCCAGCTTTCCAGTGTAAGACACGGCAAGATCCCCTCACACCTGCAAAGTTCAAACATTTTCACTTATTGAGGTCAATAATGAAAGAGAAGCCTTTGACTTCAACAGATGGGTGAACAAGAGAAGATCATGGTTGTTTTCTTTGTCCAACCCTAATGCCAAAATTAGCACTCTCCTGCTCTCTGTAAATACAATTATGCAAATAAAAAGTCTAAGAATTAAGAAAAATGTATTACAACCTACTCAAGCATTTCCCCCCTCAGAGCTTGAAGAAGAAAACTAGAAATGCAACGTGAAAGGAGGCAAGGAGACGGGTGACATTTGGTTATGATTTAGTGGCAAGGTATTTTCTTTCTTTATAACATCAAATGGCAAAAGAATAGAAAAATAAGATTTTGTAGTTTAATACTTTTGGTGAAAACTTGGTAATTGGTTTTTAGCTATTTCAAACAGACTAGCAACCAGTCAACTAAGCAATAACAGGAACTTTCTTATGGACGAGAGAAATATATTTCTCAATGGAAAACAATAAATGTACTTTACACAGCCTGGATCCAATTATTAGCAACACTAATGTTTTGGATTTTTGTTACAAAAAAAATTATGCCCAAATGACATGTTGCCAAAATGCAACTGAACTTTAGATGTCTCAGGAGTCAATTCCAGTTGTGAATTAAATTCTAATTAAATGCTGCAAAATCAGAAAGAAAATAAGAGATATGCACTGGCACATGGGCCCAATATCTAGTCCCATGAAGAAAACAAGATACTTTTAAGTTTCACAGGTACAGATCCTCTTTCACAAATCCCCCTATTAAATAAGAGATGCAAATACTTGTTTGCAGCTGACCGGAAAATTCTGAACTTTTGAATGTAATACAAGATCTGCCAGGACCAAGAACACTGACTAGAAATTAACTTTCTAACTCAAAGAAAGATCCCTTACACATGTCTTTACTTAGCTGAATTAAGTATCACGGACTTGCAAATCCTTCATTAGAATCACAACGTGTACCAAGAACATGCGTACACTGTGAACGTGAAATGACTGTTTCACCTGGAAGTCCTCACTGGTTAACTTAAAGACCCAGGTCAGCAACTGTGGCATGCGTTCGACATACATACTTGTATCTCAAAATTGTTAGACTGTATACACCCCCTGGGAAGCCCTGCTCTAGTTGTGATCATTCCAGAGGCCCCGTGTGACCTTCACTCCTCACTTATTACATGGACTCTCATAACCCTCCCCCCGGAGATGAATCAAAGGGCAGGGGTCACTGAATACTAGTCAAGCTCCTTCTTGTCGTTTTTACCTGTAAATTATGGCTCAGAGGGCTAAAATGCTCACAGTTGTATATAATTATCTTCGTGGGCATGAAGGCCCAAGAGGAGGCTATATCTGCTTAGTCAGAAAAAGCACCCCCACCTTGCCCTCAGGAAACACTTTGGCCAGAAAAAGTCACGTAGCCTTGAGAGAAGGGGCTAAAAAGTTGCTTGTGTTCCAACTCCAGTTGAAATAACTTCTAATATTAACAGATGTCAATTACCGAGTGCAGGCCAGCTACCAGCGAGCGGTTGCTTTGTTTAAGCCTCAGATGATGCTGAGGAACACCTTAGGTTGGTTTGCTTACTTTTGTACTTTACATGCATTAAACTACTACACTCATATGCCCAAAAAAAAACCCACAAAATCACACTAAGGAAGAAATTTTTTTAATTAATCTTTGTTTGATCATGAGAAAACTGATGCTTGGAGAAGTCCAATCACCTGATTTGCTCAGTGGGGAACCAGGGTTGGAACCCAGGCCTAAGTCAGAGGCGGCAGCCAACCGAAGGCCCGTGCGCCAATCTGGAACTGACGCACTTGGCCCACTCTGTGTTTCTGAAAACTTTTAAATAAATGCCAGTATTAAAAAATGTTCATAAAAACATGCAAATCTCCCACTCTTCTTGGAAATCACTTCTGGCTATCCTCAGGGGGAATTCCTCAAGGCCACAGCGGCTGGCAGGAGGAGCCAGTGCCCTCTGAGGGGACAGCGCCATCTGTGCCACAGCCCCTACCACTCCCAGCATCCTGCACCGGGCAGCCCTGCTCACATGTCCCCTGTGGGACCCTACAGACAGCTGCCTTTGTTCTTAAGGACACGGCCACATCCTCAGGCAATCGGGGGAGGCCTCCATACACAGCTTCTCCAAACACCATGGAGGACGCTTGAGCCGTCCCGAAGTCCTGAGTGGCTTAGTTGAGACCGAGCTGCTTTCGCTCTGCTGACAAACCTGAGCAGGTTCAAAAGATTCCTTAACCCCAGGCCCTGCAGGGTCCTTGATTAAGTGCAACCGTGTAAGCCTCAGATCACTCACAGGGCTCCATTCTTCAGAGGTCAAGCCAGTTACTTACTGTCATATCTGAAGGTGATGTTGTGCAGCCCACTGTTTCTGCTGGCCGGCCCCACTCCCTGCGGGAAAACAAGAAAACATGATGAGGAGGGAAGCCAATTTGCTTTTCCGGCACCGATCCCCATGGAGTCAAAACACACACATGACCACAGAGACCCGGGGTTATGCCCGTCCTCACCCTTTCTCAGCACCGGGCCCCTCTGGCTGCCCAACTCCCTCCAGCCCAGGAGAATCTGAACTGTGGGCCGTGGGGACCATGAGTACTCACTTCCCCTAAGACAATAGGAGCAGGCTGTTCTCTGTTTGAGGCTTAAATAATAATTCATTAATAGTAAAACTGGGAGAGACATGAGTTGCCAGCTGGAGCCCTCCCAGTGGTTATAAAGCACTGATTGGTTAGAGAGTCACCTACCAGACACTCGTCCAAAAGTTCTATTAAGCCACGTCAGATAGGCAATTCCTCAAGTCTAAGGAAACAGGTTTCTCATTCCAAGACCAGGAATGAGTGTGGGAACAAGCTGTTACTTTTAATGAGAAAATTCTTTTCTGCATCCATACCTTTGCTTGGAATATATAGGGTGGGTTATAAAACAAAAAGAAAAAAGACTTTAAAAGGTCTAGCTCTAACTCTTGGTGATGTGGCTGTTGGCCATCTGCATTCTTAGCAGCAGGGATAACAACTCCACCAGACTTCCCACTTTAATTACAGCATCCGCAGAGGGAGCCCCGGAATCCTCCCGTCGCCCCGCCTCTCCCTAACCCACCACTTATCCACCACGGGAAAGAGGAGCTACAGCTCTGCCGACTCTGGCCTAACCGTTTCTGTAATGATCTGCAAATGTGCCACTCAGGCATTAACTACAGAATTCTCCCAAACATGTTAATGCTGAGATGCTAAGTGATGGGAAAATATTTTCACCACACAGCTGAAGTTTCCACTCCATGAGAGGGCTGTGGGGAAGACCATATGCTGGCAGCCCGGTATTTAATGGGCAATTGTTACACCAAGACACAAACTGCAGAACACTTCTGGTGGAGCCCAGGGTCTCCGACCACAGCCCCAGCACAGGCATATGCTACAGGCATGCTCACACCGCTTACCCCGAAGCCAGGCACGCCCGCTGAAACTATATCCCTGAGCTCAGATAAACGTGGACCCTGGGAAAGCACAGCTGTGCAGAAAGGGACAGACGGACACACACACACACACACACACACACACACACACAGTTCTAATTAAAATGAGGAGTGAGCAGTCACAGAAAATCTAAATCAACATGACGTACCAGCCCACGACCTCCTGGGGCTCCCCTTCTCCCTGTCATTCTCCTTCTCCAGCTTTCCTTTCCCATCCTCCCTTCCCCCACAAACACAAGATCCCAGAATTTCTCACCTAGAACACTTTGGAAAGTGCGGCTACCTTATTAAAAGCCTAAACTCTGCCATCGCTGCTTAGAGATGAGGCCAGTCTGTGCAACTGGAGGACACCCAACTCCCAGACGGCCAAGACCAGAGATCAGGAGACAGAACCAGGCAGGAGGTCAGGAGACAAAGCCTGCCACAGCCCCTCAGTAATGCCCAAGAACGCAAACCACGGCCTTCTCCTCCCTTACATCCCGGACATGCTTCACACACCCTCTGTTAAGAGCTGGACACTATGCTAGGGCCAGTGGTGAGCAAAGCCGCCACTGTCCCTGCCCTCAGGAGCCAAGTAGCTCATTCTTCCCAAGAAGAGTGACTAACGTGGATCACATGCAGGGCAAACAGGCAAATCTCACCACCCAGCCCTCCAAGAGCTCTCAGTGTCGATGGCATGTAAGATACATGTAGTGGGTGAAAAGCCATAAAGAAGCACACAGTGTATGAAATACCACAGGCAGCACCTCCGTAAGGATGAACCAAGAATAGGACCCATACCAGGAGCTTAGAAGAGGGAAGGAGAACTGAGCTAGAAAGGAGAGAAAAAGGCAGCATCATGGGAGGGAAACAAAAATGCAATTTGGGGCCCACAGTACATTCCTTAGTCCTTCATTCTCCAGCTGATACCAAAAGCAAACCACTTCACTCCAGTGGGCCCAGTTTCCTCAACTGTTTTTTACAAAGAGGAGTTTGCATGGCACGGCCAGTGTGGCTCAGTGCTTGAGTGATAATCCAGAAACCAAGAAATCATGGTTCAATTCCCAGGCGGGGCACATGCAGGAGGCAGCTGATAGATGATGTTAATCTCTCATCGATGTTTCCATCTCTCTATCCCTCTCCCTTCCTCTCTCTTTAAAAACCAATAAAAACATTTTTTTTAAAAAGGACAGTTTGCATGACCTCCCCTGGGAGGGGGTGTAAGGAGGACCTTGTGAAGCCATGCAGAGAAAGCACTTTTCAAAAGGGGAGCACATCTGTTTAACAGCCTGCTTCATGGTGCACAGGACTCTGGTGACCAATCACCTTACTTGTAGGACTCGGTCAGCTTTTCATTCTTTTCTTGTCCCCCCGTATTTCTATTGCAACATGGTTTTAACAGATCATTATCAGGCACTGGCAATGAGCAATGCATTGTGGGAAGGAGCCCAAGTGAGATGTGCTGTATCCTTCATTCGAGAACCTAAATCCCTCCAAATAAGTTCTCTGTGACTATGTGTGGAGCTGTTCCACGTGAACTGGCTGCATGTGGCATCCATTCACTACCCACTGAGCCTTCCACCTTGACCCTGATGGGCTGAGCACTTGGCCCTGAACTAGACTTGGGTCCTGCCTGACCTCAAGGGACTTTGGCCACCAGGGTGCTCTCCGCATGTGCAAATCTGCCCTCCTCCCTTTGCTCTCGGCCCACCACAGGCTCCCTGCCTCCTAAGCCATCCCTGACGTGTTGCTCCTCTCTATCTTCTTCCAAACCCCTGTGCGCACAGCACTGCAGCTCAGCCCGTTCTTGGGCTCTTCCCTATTCCCAGAATGCCCTTCCTGCGCCCCAACCCCGCTCCCCCGTGGGCTTCCCACCTCAGCCCAGCCGCTATCACACTGTGTTCCTGATCATCAGTCAGCCGTTATGCTCTCACTTCATGTGAGCACAGTAATTTCACTGCTGATGTAGATATAAAATGGTCGTTCTAATTCCACAGGAAATCAGATGCCAAGAGGCCCTGTGGCCACCCAAGCCGGGTCGTGGAGCTTGGAAGGAAGGACACCACCGCAGGTACCAGCTCTTGCGTGTGCTGTGAAGACCGTTCCCTCCCGCAAGTCTCAGAGGGCCTGGCTTCTCAGGATATGCATCGGACGATGGTCCACCGGGCTGCCCTCAGCTCACACCCAAAACTCGCTTGCACTGCTCCAGAGCCCTCGGAAGCCTGAGAAACGGTGTGCCTAGCCAGCTCAGAGAGCCCGGCTGCTTTCTTCACACTTTGAGGGATACAGAATAACAGCACCCCCTAAACATGCCCACAGTGTAACCCAGTGATGGCGAACCTTTGAGCTCGGCGTGTCAGCATTTTGAAAAACCCTAACTTAACTCTGGTGCCATGTCACATATAGAAATTTTTTTTATATTTGCAACCATAGTAAAACAGAGACTTATATTTTTGATATTTATTTTATATATTTAAATGCCATTTAACAAAGAAAAATCAACCAAAAAAATGAGTTCGCGTGTCACCTCTGACACACGTGTCATAGGTTCGCCATCACTGGTGTAATCCCACATTGAACCTGTAAGTGTTACTTTACGCAGCGAAAAGAACGACGTTACTAATTTTAAGGATCCCGGGTTGAGGAGCTTATTCTGGATTATCCAGGCGGGCCCAGGTAATCACAAGGGTCCTCATAAAAGGGAGGCAGGAAGGTCCGAGTCAGAAGGAGAGGTGATCATGGGAGCAGGAGGCAGAGTCAGACAGACACTGACCTAAAGATGCTATGTGGCTGGCTCCGAAGATGGAGGAGGAAGGGCCAATAAGCCAAGGAAGGCCGGCGGCTGCAGGTGTGCGGGAAAAGGCAGGCAGCGGGTTCGCCCCGCGCCCCCAGGAGGAGCCAGCCCTGCAGCACCTGGGTTCAGCCCACAATGCTCCTTTTGGAATTCTGACTTCAAAACCTTTTTACGAGGATGCATGTGTGCTGTGTAAGCCACTGAATGTGTGGGCATGTATTACAGGAGCAATTCAAAGCTAATACACATAGAATTTCAGCTGCCATATGAATGAAATGGATTTCGATGTCACACATGCCATGAGCTGTCACTCTCCCCCTCCCGCCCACACCCACAAGCAAACCCATCGCCTGTCACTGCACTCCCTCCCACCCCGGCTGCAGGCCGGCACGGACACCATCTGTCAGAGCTGCTGCCGAGACGGTGCCACCCTAGAGACAGGCTTCGGGGCCAGAGGCTTGTCTGTGGCAGCAGAGTGGTGAAGGGTGGGCTTGGGGAGCTGCACAGATGTGTGTTCAAATCGGTGCAATTCTGCAGCGGCGTGACCCTGGGCGAGCTGCAGAACCTTCCTGGGCCTCCTTCCCCTGAGCTATGAAGTGTTTGACTACAACTTCCTGGAAAGGGTTGGTATGGGGGCTATGAGTGATGACACATATCCAGCGCTCTGCACAGCATCTGACACATCTTGAAATGGTTATGTCTCCATTCCTGCGAAGATTCCTGCCCTCATAAACATTGTGAAAGTATCCCCTATTAGGGGATACACGAGGCAGCCGGGGGAATGCTCACAGGAAGTGGCATCTTCAGGGATGATCTGTCTCCAGCCTCCAGACCTTGGCGGTATTGTGGGAAAAGAGGCAGGCGGACAGGTGGCAGAAAGCACTAACCATCAGGCCAACCAATGTGTTCTGCTAATGGTCTTGGTGGGAACTGGGCGACATAGGGACTCCATCAGAAGTGCTCAGGTTGGACCGGATAGGGAGAGACTGAAGGCAAAAGGCAAAGTGACCAGAACAGCTCCCTATGCCCACCATGCCCCCCTCCCCGCCCCCGTGCCTGCCCCACAGTCCCCGGCCTGGCACAGAGTCAGCCCTTGGTAAATATTAGTTTTCTGTCTGAATTAATGAATGCTTGATTGAGCCAGAT